CTGCTGGAAACAACGATCAATGCCTAATGAGCCAGAACCTCAAACGCCAAGTCTTCGCGTAGTGGGATAATTTGACCTGCCGAATGCGAAAATCATACTCGTTTGCTGAAATAATCCCTCTTTTCTAGCTTAAGGCGATACATACCGTAAATCTACAGTGATCTACAAGAAAGCCCCTTACCAAGTTCCAAAACCGTGATCATTTGTAATTTTTCCCCTCTCATACTATATACCTACCGCAACCCTCACTGCGACGTCAGAATTTGGCGGAACAACAGCTGGCTTGTAGCGTACGTCATAATCTATAGTTTGGCAAAGTTTGAAAGCGTCATATCAAACGAGAGGAAAGATATTAGAGGATTTGCAAAACTTAGTCTCCAGCCTAATATATGCGTAGTGCAACATCTCAGGTAATTACAATAATCAAGAAGATGTGACAACAGGCATTCGCAGATACCCACACTCAAATCGTAGGGAGATTTTATGAGAGATTTGGGAGATTTTACTTTTTTATTATTTTTTCCATAAAACTTCTAACAAACAATTTTGTTGGTATAGAAGAGGAAAAAAACTTTCGAGTGACATTACGACAAGCACCTTAGCAGTAATAATCTTAGTCTTTTCGGAGCAGTATCATGGCGAAATTAGCCAAGTTTTCGCATAAACGCTTGGTGAATTACGCTTTTGATTATGTTTATCTCAAGTGATCTCTGCTCTCAAATTTCTAAAGCTTGATAAATAACTACTTCTATGCAAAACCGAGCTTGTATAAAAACTTGTACCAGACTAAGAAGCCTCTACTTTCGCTGCAACTTTGGTCACACATTTATACTTCATTACCTATATTCTGGTTTACGTAACATACGCAACTTCGCTGTGTGGTTGTACAAACTTGCATATGTGATGCTTTACAGATGAGAGACGATATTGTTCTTCTAAATGCTGTCTTTGTACTTTCGTTGATTGGCGCGGTGCTGTCGTTAGGCCGTACTCAATCCACAGCCGTCGAGGGAATTTTGATGTGTGGCCAAGAACCGGCAAGACAAGTGTTGGTTAAACTCTACGAACACGACACCAGTGAGTAAACACATTTTTTGGTAAAGAAGCTATGCGTAGACCATCATGATGTGCGCAGATTCACTTTACTTCACATCATTACAAATTAGCGAGTGATATTCATGGGTACTGATCCATTCGTTCACAAGATGTGCATTGCACTTTACCTATCTGAATTGGAATAAGCGGAAATTGATTAAGAATTGGCGATGACTGCTTCATTTGCAATCCGT